TATCACCAGTCCTATTCAATATAGTGCTAGAAATACTAGCCAGAGCAATTACACAAGAGAGAGAGACAAAAGGAGTAAGGATAGGAGAAGAAGAAGTTAAATTATCATTATTTGCAGATGACATGACAGTCTACAGAGAAGACCTCCAAAACTCCACTGAAAGACTCCTAGGTATAATAAATAAATTCAATAGTGTAGCTGGATACAAAGTCAACACTCAAAAATCAATAGCATTCCTATACACAAACAACAAACTCACTGAGAGAAAAATAAGAGAACCTACACCCTTCACAATAGCATCCAAAAAAAAAAAAAAAAAGAAATACTTAGGAATCAATCTAACAAAAAGAAGTAAAAGATCTATTTAGGGAAAATTATAATACCCTGAGGGGCTGGGGATTTAGCTCAGCGGCATAAGCACCTGCCTGGCAAGCAAGCAGTTGTGAGTTTGATCCCTGGTACTGATAAAAAGGAAAAAGACAAAAAAATTGTAATACCCTGAAAAAAGAAATTGAAGAAGAGCTCAGAAAATGGAAAGACATTCTTTGTTCATGGATAGGAAAAACAAATACTGTGAAAATGGCCATTTTCCCCAAATTGTTATATCGATTTAATGCAATTCCAATCAAAATACTACTAGCATACCTCACAGATCTAGAGAAATCATTCCTAAAATTCATCTGGAACCAGAAAAGACCTGGAATAGTAAAGGCAATTCTGGGCAATAAAGGCAAGATAGGAGGCATCATAATCCCTGACTTAAAGTTATACTACAAAACTACTGTAATAAAATCAGCATGGTATTGGAATAAAAACAGACCTGAAGATCAATGGAATAGATTAGAAGATACAACTACAACTACAAACATACTCAGCCACCTTATCTTTGACAAAGGGGCCAAATACGCACACTGGAAGAAAGATAAGTATCTTTAATAAGTGGTGCTGGAAAAACTGGCTCTCCATATGCTGAAAAATAAAACTAGACCCATGTCTATCACCATGTACTAAACTAAAGTAAAAATGGATCTAAATATTAGAACAGAAACACAAAATCTGCTGGAAGACAGAGCAGGTGGAAATCTTGAAGACATAGGAGTAGGCAGAGAATTCATGAACAAAAATCAAACCACACAGGAAATACTTTCCAGAATCAATAACTGGGATCTTGTCTTATTGAAAAAGCCTTTGCATGTCAAAAGAAAATTTCTAACAGAGTAAAAAGGAAACCCATGAATTTTGAAAAAAATCTCAGTCAAGGACTTCTGTGTAGAACATATAAAGAATTAAAAAAAATCAGATCCCCAAAATTCAAACACCTAATCTACAAATGGGATCTGAGATGAATACGCAGTTCTCAGAAGAAGAAATACAAATGGCAAATAAATACATGAAAAAATGTTCAGTATCATTAGTCATTAGAGAAATGCAAATTAAAACACTGAGATTCCATCTCACTCCAGAAAGAATGGCCAGGATCAAGAAAACTACCAATCACAAATGCTGGAGAGGCTATGGAGAAAAAGGAACTCTTCTCACTATTGGTGGGAGAGTAGACTGGTGCAACCATTGTGGAGGTCAGTTTGGAGGTTCCTCAAAAAGCTGGGATTAGAAGTCCCATTTGACGCAGCTATTCCATTTCTGGGCACATTTCCAGAAGAACTGAAAACATCACATCACAATGATATATGTGCATCCATGTTTATAGCAGCACAATTTGTAATAGCCAGATCTTGGAAACAACCTAAATGCCCATCAACTGAAGAATGGATAAAAAAGATGTGGTACTTTTATACAATGGAGTACCACTCAGCTATAAAGAATGATCACATTGAGTTTTTATAGGTAAATGGATACAATTTGAGACCATACTCATAAGTGAAATAAATCAAACTCACGTGTAAATACCATATTGTTTCCCTAGTGTAAGAAATGGTAGGAGTACTTAAGATATAAAATCTTCAATAAATACTGTGAAAGGATAAGAATCTGTTCAAAGGGGAAAAAATAGTATCTCAGGGAAGAGGAGAGAAAAAAAAGGAAGGGAAAATAAAAAATCTAAGTTTGCATAAACACTTAAAATAGCTAAGATGATGGTGCTACAAATTCTATTAATTCTTAGAAAAAAATAGTTAACATTCATAGGATTGGATCAATTTTGCATGTTTGTGTCTGGTGATCTGAGGAACACTTCTGAAGATCACTATGTAAAATAACTTTGTTATGTTCCTACCATTTTATTTTGAAGGCTTATATTGTCATTGTTTTGGGCTCCTTCCTATTGTTATTTGTCTTTTTGTTTCTTGTTTTTCTAGTAATTTGTTTTCTTTTGTTTTTCCCTTTAATGCAGAAAGGATAAATGTATATAAGCAGATGCTTATACATGCCTAGAACTTCCCCTAAACAGTTTATGAGAATTGATTGTATTATGTGTGATGATATGGACAGCTACTTTAAAGAAAAAGAGACATTATGGTATCTATTGCTGATTTCCTATTGTTATGCTGTGAAATCCAGTAATGATTTTATTCTTTGTTTTGATTGGTTTGTCTGTTTTGTATTATTTAATTTCAACGTACATGAGGGTATGGACAGCTATTTTGAAGAGAACAAGAGACATTTTGGTAGCCATTGTTGATTTTCCTATTGTCTGCTTTTAAAGGCCTGTAATACCTTCATTATTCTGTTTTGATCAATTTTATATTATTTTATTTTGTAATAATTCATTGTGTGTGAAGATATAGACAACTATTTAGAAGAAAACAAGAGACATTATGGTAGCCAATGTTGATTTCCTATTATCTTGCTTTGAAATCTGTGTTACTTACATTGCTTACTTGTGATCTGCTTTGTTCTGGTTTGTTTTACCCTCTTAAAAAAAAAAAAAAAGAGCCCTGTAGGAAAAGGGATGCCAAACTGAAATTCAGAAACCAGCCAAATTGACATTTGATTCTGGGGCAAAAGCAAAGACATTTTTTGATAGATGAATTCAGAAAGTTTATTTTTCTTTTCTTTTTTTTAAATTTTATTTTAAAGAGAATAAAACCAAACAAAATGGAACAGAATAAAGCCAATCAAAATGAAACAATGAAAGTGATATAGGACTTCAAAACAAGATAATAGGAAATCAACAATGGGTACCATAATGCCTCTTGTTATCTTCAAAATAGCTCCCCATACCATCAGATCTAAAAAAATCAAACAAAACAACAGAATAAAGTCAATCAAAACAAAAAGAATGTTTCAAAGAATTACTAGAGAGGGGCTGGGGATTTAGCTCAGTGGCATAAGCACCTGCCTTGCAAGCAGGCGGTCATGAGTTTGATCCCCGGTACCAATAAAAAGATAAAAAAAAAAATGTATATATATATAAAAGAATTACTAGAGAAATACACTTTAGCAACCTGCTATGTAGATCATCTACTGTATGATTAAATATACCTAAGATGCCTGTAACAAATAGCAAAATGTATTTTCTCCCCACAGCATAATCCAAAAAGTCAACAAATAGAACACCACATCTCTACCCAGAAGGGTGGCCAGCCAACAGCTTATCTGGGAATGCAGGGAAGAGAATGTTATTATCTAGATACTGTTAAAGCATATACTTTTTAAAAAAAGTTCATGAGGACTGTTACGGTTTATATACTTTTTTTGTTTTGTTTTGGCTTTTTTTTTTTTAAACTGGAAAAAGAACTCAGGGCTCTTGCCCTAAGCTATGTCTCCAGCCCTTTTTTATTTTTTATTTTGAAACAGGTCTCACTAAGTTGCCCAGGCTAGTCTCAAACTTGTGATCCTCCTGTTCAGCCTTCCTAAATAGCTGGGATCCCAGCCATAGACCACTCTACCTAGCTTGTGTGTCATCATTTGTCATGATGGGAATCTTTACAATAAAGACTTTTCATTTGAAAAACATAAATTTCCCTGAGAAATGAGTATCGCTTGGGCAGAAGGTTACTGCTTTAGCATCTCTTGGACTGGCTGGCTTTGGGGTAGGGGGATACAAAAAGGTGGCAGACTTAGCTTCCAGCAAGGAAACTCAAATGAAAGCTTGTATTGTTGGCCAAGCTTTAAGGCAGCATATGGTCATGAAATGTCTGGACATGTGGTGGTAACCGATGAAGCAAGAGGTGACATCAGGAAGGGGGACTGAGCAAAAAACGAAATACCAGAAACCAGTCTCAGGTCACTGTCACCCATTTAGTGCAGACTGCTATAAAAACTGATAACTCTTTGGTTTTCGAAGAATCTTGTTAAAATTGAGATCTTGAGAAAAGAATCAGGCAGTTAAATGGGAGCCTCCTGGTTTTTTGAGGGTTTTTATTAATCTGTGATAAAGAGATTTAGTTGGTAATAAGAAACTTTTGGTGTTTTCTTATTCTTTCACTTGGGCCATCTTTTTCGTATGTGCTCAGGACTGAGCTCAGGGTCTCTGCATTGAGCTGCATCCTCTACTCTTTTTGATTTTGAGATTGGGCTTCATCTTGTGATCCCTCTGTCTCAGCCTTCCAGAATGCTAGGGTTATAGACATACACCACCCTAGTGATTTACTGAGCCATTTTAATATGGTAACATCACACTGTATTAGTATGTTGTTGTTATTATTATTTTAAAACGTAATCAGGTGAGTCATTTTTTCCCCCTAAGACTTAAGAGATGGGCCTAGAGGAACTTGTTTTGTTTAATCCATAATATGATTGAGATGACGGATACTATATTTCAGAGGATTCTGAATACAAATATTTAGCATTCATACATTGAAAACACAAAAAAAGTCAGAGGTATCTTCTCAAATAACTCTGTCATTCAGTTTATTTGCATGTGCAATAAAGAATGATGTGTTTTGCTACAAACTGTCACAAGAACCAAAGTAGCAGGAAGATACCTAGGAATCTGAAATCCATTATTCTTTAATTTTATGTCCCCTGTAAAAAAAGAGACAGGTCATAAAGGGTAAGAGTATTACAGCTGACTCCTCCCATCCAACGGCAGTACTGACCTGTGGCTGGGCAGGAGATGGGGCATCAGGGTGCTGGATGAGGATCTGGCTCTGCTCTGGACGGGCTGTCACCATGGTGCTGGCAGTGCCCACTACCATTCCACAACCACCATTGACTGAGGAGACTTGGTGGGTAAGGGAAGCTTTCAGTCTCTGTAGGAAAGATGAGAAAAAATATCTGTCAAAGTTCATATTCTATCAAGGATGAGAGAGATGACTTTAGATTCTATTTCTGATCTTATAGAATAATAAAATTTCCATTCAAATTTTCTCTTAGAGGAATTAAAAGAAAATGACAGCAAGAGAAAATGTGTACCTGGATCCCTAAAATGCCTACTCTGCTCCGTGGCTATTGTCCTGGGCACAGCTGGGGGCTGGGGGTTGTTGAAGAAAGAGGCTAGATGAAATCTCTCTCCTGGAGCCTGGCCAGATGCTGCTTATGCAGCTATTCACCTCTCGGCCAGCTCCCCTGCCCACTCACCCACTCTCCATCTGTCACCTTGGAATGAAAATGGAAAGTATTCCATTCCAAACAATCTGTGCTGCCTCTTTTCAGTGCTATGGTCTATGTACCAGGCTCTAAAGGTAGGGAGAAGAGATGAGAGTAATAAATCAGGATCTTTCTCAAATTCCACAGCAGGGTGTCCTTAGGTTTAAAAGCCCTAGAAGTTCCTTTGTTCAGCTCACTTGAAAAATCTAGGCTAATACCACTTATTTCAGAAGGGCCAACATTACCCCAAGCTGAGATATACTTACCATCTTGGCTTCTGATGGTACTGAGTGGCCAGAAGGAGAAATTGAACCACTATTGTTAACTGGTGGGCCAGGAATACCAGGAATGTTGGGTACCATGGATACAGGTCTCGCCAGCTGGATCAAAAGACAAAAGCCCAGGATATATAATACTCTTGTCTCAGAAAGCATGGGCATCTTAGGCCTGTTCTGTGCAATCTTCCTAAAGGGCTGCAGGGACAGCGTGGGAAATAAGTTTCTCCATGGAGCAACACAGAACAGGGAATCTAATCCTTCAGTGCTGGAGAAATTGCTGAGTGAAATTGTACAGTTTTATCTTGAGGAAAGTGGTAGCAATTTGATGGATACTGTGTGCCAAGTGAAATCAACCAATCAGCAGGCTGGCAAGATCAATTCCTAGACTAGATGCCAATTGTCCAGATGAGTCTTTGTCTAATGTTCCACAGTGCTGAGTTGGCAGACATTAGTGAAGAGTTTGGATAGGTTTCCCTACTCAACTAATATAGTCCAGCGCCCACATTTCCCTTGGGCCCCTCTGTGATTATGACAGAGGAAAGGAGGGTGAAAAGCAGGGATTAGTGTGTTGGTAGGATTAGCTGCCCCAACTACAGAGCTCACCGATATAACAGAAGGCATCTGTACCGGGGGCCCTGGCAGCATAGGCATGGTCTGTCCATTAGCAAGATGCATGACGAGTGGGAGGGAGCCAGTGGGAGACCTACAGGAGACATAAAGTGAAATACAGATCTTTTGCCTATGGCTTTCCCTCCTATAATTAGAACAGATTTTCCATCTTTTCTCGTTAAGGAAGGCATAGAGTGGCATTGTAAAGTCTTGACACCCTCTTTACGAAGAGAAAAACAAGAAATGCTACTTAATTTACAGATGGAGAGAAATGTCAAATAAACCTTTTTTTTTTTAAAATGGTGATGGTACTGGAGACAGAGCCCAAGGCTTGGTGAGTATTCTACCAGTGAGTTATACTTCCAACATGGAAAATTCTATACCTTGCCAATTAAGCAAACTCAACTAGTAGGAGGGTAATCTTCTTAAAGGTTTAGAACAATTACCTAAAATCTCTACCACTGGCCTGTGTAAGTTTTATCTTGCAGTAGGCAAGAGGAACTTGGATCAAAGTTGTCAATTTGCAAAGATGAATTATGTCATACAGTGGTCAAATCTGAATAAATCTTGTTCTTTTCTAATGCTTGCTCTTCTATCTAAAAGAGAACTTTCTTTTACAATTTTCCTAGTGGGTTGAGAGAATAAGCTTTAAAGAAGCTGAATCTTAATAACAACTTCTTAACCCATACCATCAGAAAACTTGCATAGATCATGCCAGGAGTAAAGACAGATACAAAAAAAAATTAGGGGCAGTAAAGATCGAAAACTATAACTTGGTGCTGGGGGGAACACTAGATTCAAACAAGATGAGTTAAGGAATGAGATTGAGAACTAAATCTACTCCAAAGGAATGAGATTGAGAACTAAATATACTTCCTTGTGTGACTTCTACCACTATGAAGAACTTCCAAAAGTTTTAAGGATTCTTCTTTTTTAGATTAAGAAGTATTAAGCCTCCAAATTACAGATGTATTATCCCCAAGTAAGTATGTTCTTACCTACTGAAAAAGGTAAAGGAGATTCTGCTTATGGGGATTTATTTAGTTACTTGCCCATGCTAGACACAAAACACAGGGCCTCACACATGCTAGGCAAGTATTCTGTCACGGAACTACATCTCTAGCTCTAAATATTTATTTTGAGGAACAATCTTAGTTAACTTATTCTCATTGGGTATTCAAAGAGTTCCTATTTTATCAAATAATTTCACAAAGTTGAAAGAGATTCAGGCTTCCTTGTTCCTCTCTGCTCTCTTTACTTACCCCATTTGCCTGTTAGATGGTGGAGCCTGTGTGATGACAGAGGTTGGGGAGGGAAGGGTTGGATGAAGTGGATCATAGCCTAAGTGCAGAGGCAGGGAGCCAGGACGTACGATGGTGGGTGTCGGAGTAGAAAGCACAACAGGCTTTGGGGCAACCTCCTGGGGAGAAGAGACCAACAAATCACAATGCTTTAAGGGATGCTATTTATAGGAAAATAGACACAGTAGCTCATAAAACCTACCACAAAAGTATTAGAAAGAACACTACAGTCACTTATGTAAATCATGACCTTGTTCCGCCATGTTCCTGTGCCCATACTTCACTCACTCATTCAGTAGGAATGCTCAGTTAGTCTCTTAGCCACTTTCTTTCAGGGATGATGGCTATATAAATGAGATGAGAATTGAGACATCACTTGAAATCTTTGGAGATGTATGTACTATAGTATCATGAAATTTGAGGGACAGTTATATTTTTTCACAATCTAGACATTGTTCCTCTGAACTTGATACTCAGGTATGTTCAGACCTCCAAGGGGAAAAGGCAGTTATACTAGTGATAAGACAACCCAGTTCATCTCCTATAAAGTATTTACCAAAAAAAGATCTATGGAAGCTTGAGCCATGATTACACTGCATTGAACAAAGTGCTTCTTTCTCTTAATTTGTCAGGATCTTGGACTGCTAATAGCTATACTGGCCTTGAAAGCATATCCAGACCATCTCTAGGACTTGGCTGCTGATGAGAAAGCTCTAATGTTTATGGAAAGGTAGTTTTGAGACGTTATCAAGTCGAATTTTGAGAGATGAGATATAACTGTTCTATCCACAACAGATGTTAAAATTTTTTTTTTTTTTTTTTTTTTAATTTAAGAGGAAAAAGAGAAAAACACAAAACAAACCAAAGCGGTGTAAGGGTACACGTAATACAGAACTACAAAAAAAACAAAACAAAACAAAAAAAACAAAACAAACAAACAAAAAAAAACATAACAGTAAGAAATCACCTGTTAGTATATTACATATTATCATCTTGAAAATAGTTTCTCAAATCACAGTATCAAAGAATACAAGGTGGACATTCAAACAGGTAGCCTGCAAACAGCTGTGTTCAATGATCCAAAAACATTGATACAGTCAGCTATTTAACACCCCTAAACACACTTGCTGTTATATCCATTAGAGCTCTTTTTTTTTTTTTTTTCCCTCTCTTTTTTACAACAAAGTTCACGCACTTTGGATTTCATTACTCCTTAGTGCTTATTACTTTTGATGTTAAAAATTAATAACCACTGGTACATGGTTATAGGTAGAACCTGAAGAGACCTAAGGGGGCCTCAGAACTTCTGGTAGTTTTAAAATCTGGGTCTTGGTTTAAAAGTCTATTAACTTTGTCAAAATTAAGTAAGTTATGTATGTACTTTTCTGTATGTGTACTATAATAAATTTATAAAAGTAATACTTTATTCAAAGTGTTCTTTAAGATGGGGATATAGCTCAGTGGCACACACCTGCCTGGCAAGTACAAGGTCCTGAGTTCAATTGCTGGTACCAAAAAAAAAAAAAAAAGAAAAGAAAAAAAAAGTAACACAATGTTCTTTAAAAAGTAGTAAAACCAATAGTAGTCAGAATCCTGGTGATTACCCTCGTAGATACTTTGAGTTACTTCCTTCTGAGAAGACTGTTTTCTAAATTGTTTAGTATCTAATTTATGTAAGTTTTTCTTTTCCAGTTATTAACCAAAGTATAATATGCAAACCCTAAGTACATTAAACAAAAGTTATTGCAACAAAGTGACTTTCTGCATATGTAAAATCAGAATAGAGACTATTTCTAGCATCGCAGGAGGTTTTCCTGTATACTTTCGTAATCCATGCTCTTTCTTTATTTTTTATTTTTGCAGAACTAGAAACTAAATGTAAAACTCTCACACTGAGATACATAACCAGCCACATCTTCCTTTAAAAAATTTTTTTGAGGGGCTAGGGATTTAGCTCAGTGGCATAAGCACCTGCCTTGCAAGCAGGTGGTCATGAGCTCAATCCCTGGTACCGATAAAAAAAATTTTTTTTTTGGGACAAAGTCTTGCTAAATTACTAAATTTTCCAATATGGCCTTGAACTTTTAATCTTCCTGCCTCAACCTCCCATACTACTGGGATTATAGGTTTTTTTTGTCCTTTTCCTTTTTATCAGTACTAAGGATCGAACTCACGACTGCCTGCTTGCAAGGCAGGCGCTTATGCCGCTGAGCTAAATCTCCAGCCCCTACTACTGGGATTATAGGCATACACCACCACACAGGGCTCCATGCTCTTCTTTCACAAAAGATATACACTATTCACTTTGCTTATTGCTGAGAGGGTTTTGCTGTTGCTTAGCTTGATCTTGAATTCCAGGGCTCAAGTGATCTTTCTGTCTTAACATTCCAAGTAGCTAGGACTGGTGGTAACATGTGCTACCTCACTTAGCTTAGTACATGCTGTTCTATCATGAAATACTTCTGATCTTGAACCTAATATAAATGGAATTATGTAGTATGTATTTTTGTACCTGACTTTGTTGTCGTTGTTGTTTAATATATTTGTGAGGTCTAACCACATTGCTGTATAATCAATTCATCCCTCCCCCACTTTCTCTTTTGTTCTGCAATGGGCCTTGCACATGGTGGGCATGTATTCTACCTCTGAGCTACATCACCCGTCCAATTCACTGGTTTTTGCTTTGTTTGTGGTACTGGGGAATGAACCTAGCAAATCTACACTGAGGTATAAACCCAACCCTTTTTATTTTTGGGGATAGTCTTGCTAATTTGGTAAACTGCCCAGGCTGGGCTTAAACTTGCAATTTTCCTACCTCAGCCTTTTCTGAGCCTGAGGATTACAGGTATATACCACCACACCCAGTCTCTTTTTATTTTATTTTTTTTTGTCTGAGACAAGGTTTCACTATGCAGTTCAGGCTGGCCTTGAACTCACTTCGTAGCCCAGGCTTGCCTCAAATTTGCAGTAATCCTCTTGCCTCAGCCTCCCAAATGCTGGGATTATAGGTGTGTGCCACCATACCCAGCCTCCAGCCTTATTCTTATTTAATGTCATGTTGCATTCCATTTTAGAAAGATATATATATCATGCTAGAATTGAATTCTGGTCTTTTCACATGCTAAGCACATATTTTATCACTGAATTATCCTCTCAGCCTCCCACAATTTATTCATTTTTTGGTTTATGGACATTTAGAATGTTTTTGGCTCTTACGAATAAAATTGCTATAAATACTCTTACAAACTTCTTTAGGTACACATATGTACTAATTTCTCTTCTACCTGGACTCAGAAGTAGAACTGCTAGACAAAAGAAAAGGTTAATTTATAACATGCTTGTGATCCTAGCACTCTGAGAGGCTGAGGCAAGAAGATTATAAATTTGGGTCCAGTCTAGCAAGACCTGTGTCAAAACAAACAAATATGTACATTGATCCTCCTATATCTTCACTATTTATGAATCAAAACACTCTATCAGTTAACACTTGTAACTCCCTGCAAAGAATTTTACCTTTTCCTTCAGTGGTGGGGAACAGGGGCTGGAGGCAGGACTGTCAGGTGGGGATGAGTCCACCTCCACTGGTTCCTCTTCTTTGATCTTAATATCTGGGGTAGAAGGCAGCGACATGTCCAGGGGCCCAGCAGCTCCCTGTTAGGAATGAGAATGAACAGAGTTTAATCTCATAGTTCCCTTCAGATTGAACCTGTATCTTTCCAGTTACAAGGCAAGAGCAGACTGCTAAGATATTCAGCCCATGGCCAAAGCATTGAACTGAAAGTCACAGAATGTGTGCTCTATGCTTTATGTATCACTTTTACCAAATCCTTTGATATCTCAGGGTTTTCCTAACTATTAACACTGGTGATAAGCAAATACTTATGAAGACTTGAAAACAGACAAAGAAGGTATCATACAAATATTTTTATTATAATCTTGTATAGGAATAAAATAATTCCTGAAACAAGTGCCTGCTTATTCCCAATCTGCTCTCCTAGGGGCCACTGAAGGCAATGAGTACCTTCTCTGTTAACCAGAATGAGCAGATTATCTAATTATCAAAAACAAATGAAGACAAACTGGCTGTTAAAAGTACTGCACACAAGATAGGAAAGGTCTGTTCTGGAAAACTTGGCCTGCTTTGATGACTACCTCACCTGAAAATCCAGGTCCAAGGGGTAGATGTTTCAAACAGATAGGATTTAGGAGTAACAGAGAAAGAAAAGGCTGTATCTTTGATCAGTGAAGAAATTAGAACTTGGTCTTTGGAGCAGGCCTGGAGAAGCCAGTAAGGTATCTTCCTGGCAGTGGCGGATCATCTTACAGAATCATGGAGCTGTGAATGGCTTTGCAGGGAACAGCAAACCATTGCTCTGACACTGCCCCACAACAGGCAGCTGGCACTACAGTTTGGTTTCACAACAAAATGGATTCTTTGCCCTATTCTTCCTACATCCTAGGTTTCCTGGTGAAAGAGGAGTTTGTTTCAACATCTGCCCTTGCTACCTTAATCCTTTGGGGTGGCTGGCTGAGCAAACTAAAGAAAATCTGGTGTCTACTATAATTAAAGAAGGTAGTAATGTTGCTCTTCTGCAAACTGATAAGGGAGAGAATTGGCAAACACAGTTTCATTCTTGCTTCATTTTTTTTTCAGTACTGATAAGATGTCAGGCACAATTTAGCTAATCCTGCAATCTCTGAAGTCAGAGATTAGTGGGAAGGAAAGGCTTCTATAAAGAGAGGTTTAAAATCTCAAAGGGCCATCTAGAAAAGCTCTGGTTCAGCAGTGGCTCGTGGTGGTGCATGCCTGTAATCCCAGAATTCAGGAGGCTGAGGCAAGAGGAGCACTATGAGTTTGAGGTCAGCCTGCGCTACAAAGTGAGCTCAAGGCCAGCCTGACCTGCATAGTGAGACCCTGTCTCAAAAGACCAAAAAAAAGAAAAGCTGTGGTTCAGGAAAAGTTTCAGGTTCATTAAATACTCCTGGAGATTGCATTACACTGTGTCTGTGCATCTCATCAAGAGGAGGTAAAGACCTCTCCTAGGCATGCAGGAAGAAACATTAAGGGAGTCCCATGAAGAAAAGGCCTGATCACCTATGAAATGGCCTTCCAGAGATATCAATCAAGCTAAATAGGCCATTGGAAAGACTTAAAACTTTTTTTTTTTTTTTTTTTTTTTTGTGGGAGGAGGGTACAAGAGATTGAACCCAAGGTTTTGCACTGAGCTTTTTATTTTTATTTTTAAAATAGTGTCTTGCAGCCAGGCGTGGTCCCAGCACTTGGGAGACTGAGGCAGGTGGATTGTGGCAAATTCGAGACCAGCCTGGGGTACAAAGTCAGCCCAAGGCCAGCCTGAACCACATAGCGAGACCCTGTCTCAAAAAAAAAAAAAAAAAAAAAAAAGATAGTGTCTTGCTAAATTCTCTAGGCTGGCCCTGAACCTGTGATTCTCCTACCTCAGCCTCCCAAATAGCAGGGATTGCAAGTGAGTACCACAATGCCCAATCCTTTTTATTCCTTTTCTTTCTTCTTCTTCTTCTTTTTTTTTTTTTTTTTTTGGTCTTTCTGAGACAGGGTCTTACTAAGCAGTTCAGGCTGGTCTTGAGCTCATTTTGTAACCCAGGCTGGTCTTAAACTTGCAATGATCCTCCTGACTCAGCCTCCTAAGTGCCAGGACCCAACTCATTTTTCAACAACAGATTATTGACATAATGCTATACTGGAGAGCAGGAGGACTGGTTTTTGGTGAAAACAGAACTGTGCTGATCTGGATGGTTGATTAGGATTAGTATCATCTGAGGGGCTGGGGATTTAGCTCAGTGGCATAAGCGCCTGCCTTGCAAGCAGGCAGCTGAGTTCAATTCCCCGTACCGATTTAAAAAAAAAAGGATTAGTATCATCTGGTTCTATAGAACCACTGCCAAGACTTTTATGTTTTAACTAAATTATCCAAGATACAATAAAAATAATTTAGGTCCGAAGAACACTAGTTTTATTTTTTTTCTTTTTTTGTTTGCAAAAGTCCCACTTCTTGCCTTTTTCTCATCCTCATCTGCAGCTTTCTTGAATTCATGTTCAAAGGAGCTAGCTAGTTCGTTGAAGAGCCCCACTTCCTCACAGTTCTTGAGGAATCTAGTTGGAGTAGGAGTCTGATCTGTAGACATGAAAAGAAAAGGAAATTCTGTTTTAGTTTTGATCTGAAATTGAAACTTGAGAGTACATAGAAAATGCATTTTATTTGGAAATAGAGGGTTTGTATTTAAGAATCTGTAGCAGGTAAAGGCCAGTGCTAGGCTACCAGAAGACGCCTGTGCTGTGTTGCCTGGAGGCCAGCAGGGGGAAGACAGGACAGTGTTTTATTGTGTGATTCTCTATTACCCACCTTTCTCTCAGCACTCTTTTGGTTTCTCACCACCCTCCTCCTGCTCCCAAACAAAACAAAAGAAAACCACCCATGCTGGTGAAATTAAGTACATTTGAAGTCAAATACTAGGGCCGGGGGTTTAGCTCAGCAGCATAAGCACCTGCTTGAAGTCAAATATTACAACAGTTAAACAATGTTTTCTTTTTAAACTTACTCCCTGCTAGGTCTGAAGTGAGTAGGTATAAGCAAATGGATGTTAATATCTGATGAAGAGAAGAAACTGAGGACGAAGCAGTGTGCACTGCACATGCTTGTATCCCAGACCTCAGGAGGCTGAAGTAGTATGACTGCTGTGAGTTCGAAGCCAGTCTAGGCTACATAGATAGTTCAAGGCCAGCCTAAACTATATAGCAAGACCCTGTTCCCCCCCCCCCCCCCAAAAATACAGAATTTAAAGAAAGAAAGAGGATCAGGGATTTAGCTCAGCAGCGTAAGTGCCTGCCTAGCAAGTGTAAGGTTGTGAGTCAGATCCATGGTACTTCAAAGAAAGAAAGGGGGCTGGAGATTTAGCTCAGCGGCATAAGCGCCTGCCTTGGAAGCAGGCAGTCGTGAGTTCGATCCCTGGTACTGATAAAAAGGAAAAAGACAAAAAAAAAGAGAACAAGAGAAAAAAAAAGAAACCGAGAACCAGATGGTTGATATACTAAAGCCACTGTAAGAAATGGTGGTCATTGCCTTCTAAAGGCATTCCAGACAATGGGGAACATGATAGCAATTCCAGGAGTTAGGAAAGGAAACTGCAAACAATAGGACTCAATTCACAGAGAACTGGGCCCAGAGCAAATTCCGGAAACTAGGATATTTGGATTTAGAGTTACCAACCAAAATATTCCCATAGGGGTTGTACAAATCTTTTTCCTTAACACAGTGCCTCTGCTCTTAGAGAGACAAAGACTCTTGATAATCCATGGGAACTTTTTCAGCAATATGAATTTAAAATTTGAGCTTCTCTCTCTCTACTCTACCTTTTCTAGAGTTGAATCTTTTTCCCTGATACACACACACACACACATTTTTTTTTTAAACCGAGAATCAAGGTGTTTTGTTTTTGTTTTTGAGACAAGGTCTCACTATGTAGTTTAGGCTGGCCTTGAACTTACTACGTAGCCCTGGCTGGCCTTGAACTCATAGTGATCCTCCTGCTTTAGCCTCCTGAGTGCTAGGATTTTAGGTGTGTATTCCTGGCATCCTAATTTTATTATGATGATTTTCCTTTCTTAGTTACTTCAGAGATTTATCTCCTACTCTAAACAGCCAGGCCAAATGATAGAATACTTAAATTACATAATATATAATTAATATATCATAGTTAATATATTTATAAGAGATAATTTAAAAAATATTATACATATTTATATTTGAAATGCTAGAGCTCAAATCTGTGGATCAAACCTAAGTCCTAGTCCTTGGCAGGGATCAAACTCTATATAAACACTCTACCACTGAACTATATACACCTGGCCCTAACTTACATTTTAAGAAGTAAGATATGCAGTCAAAATCATTCCTTCTCTTATGAGAAAATAGTTCAGTGGGATTTTTCATGGAAACAATACAATTTTTTCTTATACTTAAAACCTCTTCTGAATCAGAGTGTTTAGAAAAGTTACCATTCTGGTCTTGAATCAAAGCCGGCAGCTTCCTGACGCTATTCGTTTCAAGCAGGAGCCTAAAGAGATGTCTTTCTATGGTCTGTTGGCCATTTCAGAACTTGGACAGTGAAATGGTCAATTCATTAGAAAGAAACAGCCTGAAGCACCCCTCCCGCACCATGAACGGCTGTGAGGCTGTGAGCATAGCAGGCTGCAGTGGCCCACCAGCATTTACAGGGACCCCCACCATCTTGGGATCTGGAACATCGGGAAACCAAGCAACCCCTCCCCCCACCTGTTTTGTTTTGTTGAACTTCAATATATATGAAAGTATGGAGAGCTATTTTGAAGAGAACAAGAGACTCTACAACAGCCATTAGTGATTTCCCTATTGTCTGGTTTTGAAGACCTAAACTGCCTTCCTCATTCTGTTCGGATCAGTTTTATACTATGTTATTTTGTGTGAATTCTCTGTATGTGAAGACATGGACAACTATTTGGAAGAAAACAAGAGACAAATATGATAGTGAAGCTCTCAGGTCATCTAGCTTTGAAATTTATATCTCTTACATTGCTTTTTTTATGTCCTATTTTCTATTTTGTTGTGTTTAATTTTACCCACTTTAAAATAAAAATAAAATAAAATAAAATAAAGTTACTATTACCTCCCAAAATAGTTTTAAAAGGTTCTTGGGTAGCTTTAGTTGGCTAATAATAAAGTCACTTTACTTCCATTCTGGTGCGAGCAGAAGTGTGTCATCCTTTATGCTTTAAATGCTTCAGAAAAGGCACACACAAAATCACAACTCAATTGTAACAGGAGGATCAGCTAAGAGCAGAAAGATGGCAGATGGATTTTTCCTCTCTCTCTCTCTTGCTGCTGGCGCTCATGAACTCATACCTCTGGGCATGCTAGCATGCTAGGTAAATGCTCCATCACTGAGCTACATATCCAGTCCAGCAGAAGGACTTCAGGACCTGTGATCTAAGGCTCATACAAAGTCTTCCCACCCCATTCTGCTTCTCACGCTCATTTCTGATATTTGTTTTAAAGGCTATCTGTATTAAATCTAGTCCTCCACATTCCAGATGGCCTCTACCCTCAAATGGCTCTGGTTCCTCAACAAACAGCTTGAAGAAATATAAGAAACCCTTGAGTCTGGTGTGATAACTCCTAAAAATCAGTGTTTACTGAATGCTTTATATGCATTTTGGTGTTACATGCATATAATTGTCTATATCTTAGGGAGAGTTAGGAGAATAGCCAAATATAAAATATAGGTCTTATTCTAAGAAATTAAGATAATGCTTTTTAGTTGAGTAAATAAAACTAATATACATAGACAGCAGTATCTCAGTGTATAAAATAAGTGCTATGTGCAGTGGGGAATAAAACTGTTACAGTAGCTGGGCATGGTAGTGCACATCTGTAATCTTAGCATTCGAGAGGTTGAGACAGAAGAATCCTTGCAAATTCAAAAACCAGCCTGGGCTACAAAGTGAGTTCAAGGCCAGTCTGAGCTACACAGCGAGACCCTGTCTCAAAAAGACAAAACAAAACAACAGTTACAGTACTAAAGGCACATTAATGACAGAGTTGTTGGGAAAGCTTTCAAGAAGTGGGAATTGAACCAGGCCTTAGCGAATGGTTTAGATGAAAGAAGTGTAAGAGAAGTAATGTAGGTTGAAGGCAGGATATGGTCACCATATATGTATGAGGAGGAAAAATTATGTTAGGTCAAAAGATAAGCTCTTGGCTGGATGTGGTAATGTATGCCTGTAGTCCAAGTACGGAGAAGGCTGAGGTAGGAGGATCAGTGCAAGTTCTAGGCCAGCCTGAACTGCATAGTGAAACCCTGTCTCAAAAAGACAGCAACAACAACAAATGCTCTTTACATATATAAGTTGCATATATGTAACTCATCCATATAGGCTGGATTAGTATCATGAGGCTAGATCATGAAAAGCCTGAAAACCTAGGTATATATAGCTTTTTCTTTTTGGACACAGGGTCTCACTACATAGCCCAGGCTGGCTTCAAATTCACAGTGATCCTCCTGCTTCAGCTGACTGAGTGCTGGAATTACAGGTATGCATTGACACATCCAGGTAAATAGCTTTAAAATAAGAGAAAATAAGAAAATATGACCACAAAAGTAAAAGTCAAGGAAAACTGTTCTTCCCTCTAGTAGTAGGGGGGTTGAACCCTGGGCCTCATGGATGCTAAGCAAGCACTGTAACAGAGAGCTACACTCCCAGTCCTTTCTGATTTAGAGACACAGACTCACTAAAATGCCCATGCTGACCTTGAATTTGTAATCTTCCTGCCACAGTCTCTTGAGTAGATAGGATTACAGGTGTGAGTCTGGTTGAAAACTAGCTTTTCCAGCATGCAAAGTGGATTAGAATGAGAAAAGCTGCTGGGTGTTGTGGCCCATGCCTGTAATTCCAGCACAAGGGAGATTGAGGCAGGAAGATCACTGAGAATTCAAGGCCAGTCTAGGTTACACAGTGAGCTCAAGGGCAGTCTGGATTGCATAGTGTGACCCTAGATTCAAAAAAAAAAAGAGAGAGAGAGAAAGAAAGAAGAGGAGAAACAAGAAAGAAGGAGGACAAAGGAGGAGAAGGAAGAAGGAAGAAGAAGGGGAGAAGGAGGAGGAGGAGAAGAAGAAAAAGAAAAGAAGAAGAAGAAAGAAGAAGAAGAAGAAGAGCTAAGGAAGCAAGCTAGGAGACTTTAGAGGACTACAAGCGGAGGGTGGTGGCAGGAAGAATAGGAATGTTATAGGGTTTGGTAACTTCTTCCAAAAGCTTATGTATTAAAGTTGTGGTTCTCAGCCCTCATCACTATGGAGGAGGTAGACCTTTAAGAGGTGGGCCTAGTGGGAGGTTTAGGTCATTGGGACCATACCTTCCTTCAAAGGAACCGTGGGACTTTGCTTTCTTTCTCTCTCATTGGTGACTCAGCCTTGAGAAAGTAGCTTTACTCTACCATTCACTCTGCCATGATGTGAATGGCTGTAGGCCAAAACAGACAGGGACTAACCAATCATAGACTGAAACCTCTAAAACTGTGACCCAAAATACACTTTCTAAATTGACTCATCTCAACTATTTGTTACAGGGTCAGAATACTGATTTTTTTGGTGGTGGTGGTGGGGGGGCAGAATACTGATTAACACAAGGACAGAATAGAATGGAGAGGATTTTTATAAAGAATAAAACAACTGCTTTCGACTGGAACCACCATCTTCCAGTAATTTGCCAAAATGACAAACACAAAGGGAAAGTGGAGGGGAACCAGGTATATGTCCTCTAGGCATTTTAGAAAACACGGGGTTGGAGCTGGGGATTTAGCTCAGCGGCATAAGCGCCTGCCTTGCAAGCAGGCGGTCGTGAGTTCGATCCCCGGTGCTGATAAAAAAAAAAAAAAAGAAAACATGGGGTTGTTCCTTTGGATACATACATGTGAATCTACAAAAAGGGTAGTATTGTAGACATCAAAGGAATGGGTACTGTGCAAAAAGAAGGCTACACAAATGTTACCATGGCAAAACAGTAAGAATCTACAATGTTACCCAGCATGCTGTTGGCATTGTTGTACACAAGCAAGTTAAGGGCAAAATTCTTTCCAGGATTCATGTGTGTATTGAGCATATTAAACATTCAAAGAATCATGATAGGTTCCTGAAACATGTCAAGAAAAATGATCAGAAAAAGAAGGAAGCCAAAGAGAAACGCACTCAGGTTCAACTAAAGCACCAGCCTGCCGCATCCAGAGAAGTGCACTTTGTGAGGACCAATGGGAAGGAGCCTGAGTTGGAACCTGTTCCCTATGAATTCACTGCATAAGCTGGGGATAGCACCCTGCCATTAGGTACCTAATTGGCAGCTAAGGGTTCTAGGTTCTACTTAAAAATAAAAAAATTATTCTGTGTTGTAAGGATAGTTATCTCAATAGAACAGGTGTGGTACCTTTACCTCAGAAACAAATATTTGGAGCAGAGTTTCATTCTACCTATTTAACTGTGTCAGGTCTTTACTCTTTAGTGTTTTTCTTTTCTTTTTTTTTCTTCAGTGTTTTTTTTGCTGAAAGCTCAGTGGTGTAAGTGCCTGCCTGGCAACAGTGAAGTCATGAGTTCAATCACTAGTACCAAAAAAAAAAAACAAAACAAAACAACAACAACAAAAAAAGATACTGCTGAGGTATTATGTAGGTGTATACTCAAATGGCCAAATATTTATGAAATATTTATATTGTTATGAAGATCTTGTAAATCATCTTGGGAAAAGATGTATCAAAATAAAATGGAAGTCATTTTAGTTAAATAAATGGAAGCCCACTTCAGTTAATTTTTTTTGGGTTGGGGGGTGGGGATTTAGCTCAGCGGCATAAGCACCTGCCTTGCAAGCAGGCAGTTGTGAGTTCGATCCCTGGTACCGATAAAAAGGAAAAAGACAAAAAAAAAAAAAGAAAAAAAATTTTTTTTTGTACTGGGGATTGAACTCACAACCTAGCGCTTGGCAGGCAGGCTCTTATGGCACTGAGCTAAATCCCCAGCTTTTTTTTTTTGTCTTTTTGAGACAGGGTCTTGCTATGTGGTTCAGGCTGGCCTTTGGCTCACTTTGTAGCCAGGCTGGTCTCGAACTTGCAATGATCCTCCTATTTCAGCCTCCCAACTGCTGAGATTACAGGAAGGTGCCACTATGCTTGGCTTCAGTTAAATAAATTGTTTAAAGCACCAAAACAAAACAATAAAACAACTCAAAATTACTGCTATCAGTTGATAACAAAGGACAGAAGATAGTCTAAAGGACAAAGGTAAGAGTGGTTGCTGACATAAACATTTCAATGACAGCCAGGAAAAAATGTTCAGTAAGGGCAGTGGACTACATATGACAACAGAAGGTCTCAATTAGATATATGATGACTATCAACATGGACAGAATAGCTCAAGTCATATGACTCCAGAACTGAATGCAAAAGGTAACAACACACTTTCTTCTTGGGACTGTCATACAGTATCTATCAGCACCCTGGAGGACTGGCATAGGCCTTTCCACCAATTTGGAACAACTTGATAGACTTGCCCTAAGTTTACCTTTTCATAAACTTTCTTAAACTTCTCCAACTTGATAGCTTTGCCCAGAGTTTATGTTTTTCATAAACTTTTTGATTAATTTCATTTACTATTCATTTCTTAGTATTTACACTGTATTGTTCACTTGTACAAATACCAAATTTTTTCATGAATACATAATCTGATTTAATTAAGCTCTGTCTACCTATATACTTACACTCTACTACCTAAGATCTCCCCCAGGTTTTCTTTTTTTGGAAACAAAGTCTCACTCTGTATTCAGGCTGGCCTTGAACTCGCAGCAATCTTCCTGCCTCAGTCTCCCATGTGCTGGGATTATAGGCATGTGCCTGGTCTCCACAGGTTTTCTTAAGAACTAGATAGCACTGTCCCCATTAACATTCTCTCAGGGATTACAAATCTACAAGCTTCTAGCAAAGTACCTGGTATATACAGTCAATACTCAGTAAGTGTTTACTGAGTTAATAAGGAATAGGAGATCTCTAAGGTCAAGTCCCTTTCATCACATATATTAATATGGAGAAGAGGTTCTGTCTTTCCTCCATGTCTAGGATACCATTTTGGTTAGTAGTACTTAGAGTCACTGTGCATTTACTGATTTATTAACTAATGGAATAACCACCAACTAAATATACTACTGATTAAATATTAAGTTAAACTTGCTTAACTTGGATTAAATTCAAATCTCTTGTGGTGTCAAAAAAAAGGCTACTTTGATTTCTGTATTTGTCTAGCTACAAACGGCATGAATAACTGCTACATGGTGTGAGAGCTACTGCTATGAATGGTCCTTTGGGATGGTGCATGGAAGCAAGACAGTATCTGAAACAACCGGTGAGAGGTTCCAGGTCACCCAAATTGGCATAAAAAGTCCCAGAGACTCAAACAAATGTCTTGTCTGAGTTCTGGAAATATCCCCTCCATGGTGTCTGAGTTCACAAGGAAGCTTAATTTACAAACTGATAGTCTGGAGGCAACTGACACCCAGTGGAAAGAAAGCAGCCAGGGTGGGTCAGCTTTTTGCCTTTTGTTCGCCTGTGTACTACAGATAGAGAGAAATGTCACAGGCATCTTTGTCTGTAAATTTTCCAAAGACTCAGTAAATAGGAGGGAATACAATGAAAAAAGCTAGAACAAAACCTCAACATATCTATTGTCAAAAACCACAGAACAGAATCTTGTTATTAAAAATCAGAGAATAGAGGGAACAATAGAAAACTGGGAACTTTTAGTGTTCTTTTTTCCTGATTAAATGCAGATCACATAAGGGCTCATGATGGGAGAAGGGGAGTACAGCTAGCTCCCAGTACATCTGGTCCCTGGTATTAATCTTAACTGTCTGATAACAATAAGGCACATAGCTTTTGGGGGCAGCAAATACCTGCAATGATGACTGAGTCAGTTCGGGCTGGACCAAATTTCAATGTCATCTCATGCTTGTGTTTATGAACTGCCAGGTGGTCCTCGTTTGTAAATCTCTGAAATGAAACAGAAATGGAGATGTGAAAATAAACAAATATACACACACCAGTTCAGTCCCCTTTAAAAATGTCCTACCAAATACGTTGCAGTGAGGTTGGTCCCTCAAAAGGGAAAATGGAAAAAGAAAAACTTGGAAGCAATAAAAAAGAAGAACAAACAGACAAAACAGTGCTAGAAAGCAGATAGGAGAGCAGAAGACCACAGCACGAACTGCTCTGTAATATCCGATTCAAAGAAGAGAAGTAGACAGATTGTTAGTAAACTAAAGTCCAGGCAGGAGGCTCCAAATGAAAAAATCACTAAGGCAAACTTGTAGTGGACAAGGGAAAAACAATTTTTAGTAATAATAATAATAAAAAAAATAATAATAAAGAGAAGGCCAGGAACTCATTGGTCATCACAAAAACAGGAAATTTCAGAATGAAGCTCTCCATGGTGGTGCCGATTATACTATTTTATGAGGGGGCTAACAGGGAGATAAATTATGCAGGATTAGGAGAACTATTTAACTTCCTGGCCTCCTCAGTGCTACAGCAGGCGCCTGTGCGGCTATTTGGCTCAGGGTTTTAATGAGCCAGGATGGAGCTGTACAGGACTGAGGCCCAATGGCCAGCAATAATTGCACACACCAGCCCCATCGGCCAAATGTTGGCTCCCCTCATCGGGTGGCCTGCCTGAGTTCCATCAGTCATATAAAGGGGCCAATACAATGCTGCTGGCTATATAAAGGCAGAATAAAAATGCAAGAAAAAAAAATAAGGGTAGGGAGGAGCCTGTAGGCAGGATGATGGGAGAGAAAAGGAGATGGTATAGAGACCATGTTTGTTTAGGGGTTGGAATAAAAGGACAACAAAGAGGTAAAGTCTACTCCAGTTTATGACTAAGTACGACAGGGTTACTGAACTAATTTACGCTCCCATCCCTTTAAAAGAAGATGAAAAGAACAGATGAACAGCAGTAACTCAAAAGAATGATACCCTCAAAAGTCCCTTTGAGGCTTCTGGTCATGTTCCTTCATTAAAACATGCCTACAACACAGCAACTGCCCACATGTTGCAGTTTTCCATAGCTCCTTTACCAGAGGTTTTATTTGTCTTTTTCTTTTTATAACTAAAGTTGGGACCTAGGCATTATGGGAAGTGGAGACAGGAAGATTCTGATTTCTAACCCAGCATGAATAATTTAACGATTTACCAAGACCTTATCTCAAAAGTTAAAACAAAAGGGGTTTGGGCTGGGATGTAGCCCTGAATGAAGCCCCCAGTATCACAAATAAAATAAAGCAATGGTTAGTACCCTGTTTCTACCTTCTTCACTCGATACACATTTTCTACAAATCTCCTTCCCATTTTCTACAAATCTCTTTCCCATTTGGGAAAACAAATACTCTGGTTTTAGCCCCATCCACTGAGGAAAATAACACCAAACTGTCTAAGTTCCTTTTGTGCCATATGCAGCCAGAAAAACACAGAAATCAAAGGGGTCTTTTTCTTTTGATTCCGTGAGAGATTTGCATTTATCCTAAGCTAAGCAAACTTAACTTAATATGTAATCAGTAATGTATTTAGTTGGTGGTTACTCTATTGGTTAATAAATCAGTAAGTGCACAGTGTCTCCAAGTACTGCTAATCAAAATGGCACTCTAAACATGGAAGAAAGACAGAACCTCTTCTCTATACTAATATATGTGATGAAAGGAACCTGACCTTAGACATTTCCCATTCCTTATTAACTCAGGAAACACTTATTGAATATCAACTGTGTATACCAGGTATTTTTCTAGAAGCTTATAGATTTATAATCCCTGAGAAAAGGAAGCAAACAAAAGCTTACTGAAGCTTTTGTCAAAGTGAATGCCAAACTGCCTACTGTTTGAAGATTTAATTATACTGTCTCTCATTTATTAAGAGCTCTTTAAGAATTCTCTATATTAGGGGTTGGAGGTATAGCTTAGTGACAGGCCACTTGCCTTGAATGTGAAGTTCAGTAATAGGAAAAAAAAATCTAGATCAGTGTCCCAAGATTCCATCAGTCATAGCTAGCTGTGTCATCTTCCCTACCAGTCCCCTACCCTATACTAGGGCACTGAAGCCAGGACCTTGCAGATGATAACAGATCAGTGTTGAACTTCATGCTTAGGGAATCATCTCTCTGAAACCAATTTTTCAGTTAAAATAGCCACAATTGACAAAAATTTTGATCTTAGTAAAAATACAGATTATTCTATTGGTTTAAAGCGGGAGAACGGGAGGAACAATCCCAAAAGTTTTTGCTTTTAAGATTATTGCCTCTTTAAACCAGATGTGGTGGTACATGTCTGTCATCATTTGAGAGGCTGAGGCAGGAGGATTACTGTGAGTTTGAGGCCAGTTTGGGCTACACTGTAAGTTCAATGCCAGTCAGAACTACATAGAGAGACCCTGTCTTAAAAAAAAAGCTCATCTAAGAATCTAACTGTAATCTAATTGTAAGTACTGCCAATGATTTTTTTTTCTAGTTTTACCATGACTGATGCTTTAGTAGTCACTCATCCTGGATGCAGGATAAATGATGATAATGTTCAATATATGTAAGTTACTATACTCTGTCCAAGGCAACAGAGAACCATTATTATTCAAAATGGGTGCTGAAGAATTTGTGACACAATAGATTAGAAAAGCAGCTTATATATCTTGAGAGAGGATTTATGTGGTAATATAGGTGTATTTTCCCCCTGTACTGGGAAAGAGTGAACCTAGAGCCTTGGCATTGAGCTACATCCCAGTGTTTTATCTATTTATTTTTGTTTAAAATCTATTTTATTTTAGTCTCTAAGTGATGCTAGTTGCTTAAATTGCTTATGTGAATCCACTTCATCCAAAAAGGAAATGTAAAGCACTTCTAGCAATACAAGAACAACTGGCATGACCTACCCAAAGGTCTTCTATTAGAATCTATAGAAAACCAAAATATGGTTTAGGTGTTTTGAGTAGTGTTTTAGGTGTTTTTATTTTCCAAGCCATAAGAGAGCTTCCTTCAAATTCACTTTTTTTTTTTTTTTTTTTTTTTTTTTTTTTTTTTTTTTGGTACTGGGAATCAAACTCAGGACCTTGTGCTTGCCAGACAGGCATTTATGCTGCTCAGCTATATCCTCAGTCTCACTTTGATTTTTTGAAACTCACTAAATGTCCATTGTAACAGGCAAATTGACTGAACTGATTTCTAATAACTGTATTATGTTGCCAGTTAACATGATTCCTGGCACCATGGAGACCTAGGGTAAAGAAGATTCATCTAAGTAATGTAAGCATCATTTGTCCTGGAATAAGTGCACGGCCCTTGAGCAGTCTTCTGTTAAGACTTCTACGTTTCTTCCCTCACCATGGCTGAAGAGCCAAGAGCATCACATGTGAATTCACTGTAGGTTTTCATAACAGGAAACTAATGTGGGAGATGCAGTAAGGTTTAATTTTCAAGTGTAGTCTAAATACTAAGATGACATCTTGACTACTTGTATTGCATTTAGCTCATTAAAGTTATTTTACATGTCTAGCCTACTTTCTTTTTCATAGGAGTTGGAGTATTAAATGAGAAACAGTATGCTACAGTCTTGTCAGTTGTCTGAGTATCTAGTAAATATTCTACCCCCTTCCTCTTCTTCGTCTTCTTCTTCTTCCTTATTTCCAAATAAATGAAATTTGTCCTTGAATTTTAAAAGTTATAAGTAAAAAAATAGTTTTCTATCAGTATCCTTGTCAGCATGATTCTGAATGTTCTCAAGAGTACCTTCTCTTTTATAAAAAAAAAACACTTTATATTGTTTGAAGTACATGAGAAGTTTCTTTTCTTTTCTTTCTTTTTGTTTTTTTCAGTACTGGGGATCAAATTCATGACCTCATGTTTGCCAAACCGGCACTTACACCACTGAGCTAAACCCCCGGCTCTTGAAGCTTCATTTTTGTTTAGTGTTCCTTACTTTCCATCCTGAAAAGCTATTTCTGAGGAATTGAAACCCTAGACAACAGCCACCACAAAAAAACGTTAATTTTTTTTTTTTAAATGATAATTCAGGGAAAGACTTGAAGAGAGGTAAAATTTTAGGACTTTTTTTGTTGTCTTTTTGAGACAGGGTCTCACTATGCAGTTCAGGCTGGCCTTGAGCTCACTTTGTAGCCCAGGCTGGTCTCGAACTTACAACAATCCTCCTGCCTCAGCCTCCCGAGTGCTGGGATTACAGGCGTGAGCTACCACACCCAGCCTAATATTTAGGACTTAAAAGGCAGCAAATGCAGCCTCTGAAGGGAATCTTTTTAGTTATTACCTAAAAAGTAAAGTTAACATGTTGGATGTGGTAAGACACTTGTAATCCCAGCACTCTGACAGGGTGCAGCAGGATAGCTATGAGTTTGAGGCCGGTCTAGCCAAAAAAGTGAGCTCAAGGCCAGTCTGGACTGCATAGCAAGATCCCATTTGAAAAAGACAAAAAAAAGTAAAGTTATACAACTATAATCAAGGTCATAAAATAAAACACAACTTAAAAACTCGAATGAATAAACAGGCAAAAAACCAAAACCAAAACCAAAGCCAAACCCCAAAGCAACAACAACAAAACGACCTGAAAAGGAAAGGAAAAAGAACTTCAGAATGATTTGACTTGGGACACAGATTCATCAGTCCTTGGTATTTCTGTTATCTGAGTATCCTGAGTCACATTATTCCACTTTTATTTCCATCCTCACTGATACCTCAAAGGAGCATTTCACTCATTTTGTTAGGATTCAAAATTTCAATCCAGTAGCCATCAGGATCCTGAGTAAGTGCCAGGCCTTTCATTTTTACCATCATTAGGTTTCCTTACAAATTTGACTCCTAGTTCTTCAAATCTTTTACAAGCACCATATACACTAGGAACAGCAATTCCAATGTGACCAAATCCCCGAGGGTCTGAATTACCATTGTGGTAACCTAGGGTGTCATCATCTTTAGTGCCCCAATTGCATGTCAACTAAGGTGTAGC